TCGTCGTCGTCTTCCGACTCGGACTCTGATTCAGAGGATGATTCTTCCTCTTCGCTTTCTTCGAAGTCTTCTTCGCCGTCTGCCTCCCGCCGAGCCCGCTCTGTCGCACGCTTCGCGCGCCGCTCTTCCTTTTCCTTTCGCTTCGTCTCTTTGGCCTCTTTCTTTTTCCGACGTTCTTCTCGCCGTTTATTCAAAGCGGCGAAGTCAACCACACCACCTCCCCCACCAGTCCCGACGACTACATAAAGGTCTCGATCTTCATCCAGTCCAGCCAGTACCAAAGGGGTTCCTGCAGCACGCTTGCGCCCAATCTTGACTGAATCGCCTCGCTCTCGTTCCTGTACCCGAATTGCCTCGGCAATCCACAGGGCCAACTTAGTCAATGCCCCTGGATTAGTGAACAACTTCACGTCCGGCCCATCCTTGACAACAGCGATGCGAAACGCACGCAAGTGTCGAATCTGATGTTTTGAAAGTAAAGAAGTACCGGTGCGCAAAATCGAGCGGTGAAGATGTTGAGCAAGGGGAAGCGCTTCTAGGAGAAGCGTGGGTGACTCGGACGTCAGAGATAGGGCGTCATATGCACACCAGAATCGGGGCACAATGCTGGCGAGATCCGACTCGGTAGAGTCGACGCCATTCAATTCGGGCGCGCTCCTTGGTCGCGACAGGTGTTTTGCGTCCCACGACCCCGGTGCCTCCTCTGGCCCGACCTCGAGCATGGCACCAATAATAACACCCACATCAGTGGCAGACAAACAAGCCTTCCAGCCCCAGCAGCGCACAAAACCCCATCCCTCACGAGAGGTAGCATGTCCAGATGCTTCCGCGGGTACCAAACCATCCAGGCCGTACATTGGTGCATACTTGAGGAGGCGTTGACGCAGTACTCGTTTTAATTCCATATCCATATGGGTGTAACTTTGGTGGGACTGGCTCAGGCTGATGCCCATCTTGGCTAGGAGTTTGTTTAGTCGTTTCCTACCATTCTCGGTCCACACATGTAATCGGGATGCTAAGTAGGGACTGTGGAGCATGCTATCATATAGCGACCAGTGTCGTATAAGAATGAATCTAGGTTCAGGCGACAAACGAATAGACTTATCTGTGGGTGATTTTGCCGTGGTTGGGATAACACCATTGATCTCTCCTCTTATATCTCGATCACGTTCATAAGGATCCGGCGGATTTAGTCGATGGACCTCGTCTCGTAAGATCTGTCGTATACGCTCACCCCGTTCTCCACCCCAACCAGCCGACCCTCCAGATTCCGACGAGTTGGAGATACCGACACCAGACATTGTGCGGCCGCTAAGTTCTAGACTAGATGCGCCGACGATAGCAAGCCATAGCAGGTCATTGTCTTCACGACCAAGCTCCGATGCCAACGAGTACACTAGAGATGATATAGGTTCTGAGTATGAGGTGCCGGAGGAGTAGTAATTCTGTAGCACACTCTCATGTTTTCGTTTTAGTCGCAGTAGACGCCGTTTCAACGAACGCGCGGATGGCTGTTTGGGTTGGGCAAGCGACGGCGACTCTAGTACTGGTGTGACAGCGCGTGATGAATGGAAAGGATCATGCGCCCTGGGTCGTTGACGAGTTGGGGAGGAAACAAGCGAGGACCCCTACAAGCTACATTAGTGCCACAAAAGGAATACTAACTCCAAGTAGAACATACCGAATTGCTCCTCCTCCGTTGACGAGGCGGCCCGTCCTCCTCGTCAGATTCATCCTCGTCGTCCGTCCGTGACCATGACTTGCGTTTTCTGGAATCCGAACTGGACGGTTGGTCTACTTCCCCTTCACTGCCCGAGTCTTCACCGAGATCCCCCTCGTCCTCTTCATCTATCTCTGGCATCTCTAACAATGCGCAATATGCTTCTCGCTCCTTGCTCATGTCCTCCTCGATATCCCCATCGTCGTAGACCACGATACCCCCACTACCTGACTTGTATGAGGGAGTAATACATCCCTTGTTCACACCGCGCGTTTTCCGTCGCGCATTGGCATCAATCTCGCCCAGCGCTTGCTCCGACACGGGCTGGCCACCAAAAAGATTGGCTAAATTCCACGGTCGTCTCGCATCAAACACCCAGACCTCAACCCCGCCCATGTCCTCTACTTCCTCCTCGGGGTTACTGAGACAAAGTATCTCGCTCAGGTCCACCAAGCCGCCCACTCCTAGACAGACCACCACGCCGCCACTACCACCATTGGTAGTCTGCATGGGCTTCACGAGCTCCTCCCCCGCACGAGACAAGTCGCCATATCCCGCAACTGGTTGGATTTTGTGGGGTATATAATCGCGTTTTAGCAGAGCAGTGAGAATTCGACAAGCGCAGAGCGCATCGGGCTCGAGAGCCACGAGAATCAACACAGGCGGAGACAGCGGATGGTGTGATCGGAGGAGTTGTAGGTAAAGGTGCGATATGAGCTGGCGAGGTAGATACATGGCAGCCGGGAAAGTTGACGAACGATACGCGAACGAAGGAGCCAACAGATACTGAATTTAGGCCTCCAAGAGGCCCTGCTCTAAGCTGAGAAACAATCAAACCACGGGCTGCTCACACAAACAAAGTCAATGGTGTTTTGGTTGGCTCCATTCCCGAGTGTTGGCGAGTCTCTTGGGGTAACAAAAGCACTTCGTCGCGAATGTCCAGACGCGTCCGGGACGCCACACGTGCGGAGATTGCCGCCAAGCCCGCTTTTTGGTTCAATAAATTTAATTTCCTGGCATAAAAACATCCTTCATGGCCCGCATAAAATTACTAGTCAGAGAATAAGCAAGGGAAAGAAGAATAGTCAAAAATCATATTCATAATAGTCAGTTAATAAATCATGAAGCTCCACAGGTCATATAGAAACTGTCTTAGCTGTCTCAGTATCACAATGACCAACGCACAAGGGTATTCTCCGCTTCTTTCTTTTCTTGAGATACATACAGAGTACGGAGTAGCTCGGAGGTAGATGGCTCGTGCTCTTCAACTGGATTTGAGCATGAAGAGCGTTTGTAATGCCGTCGATGCAAGAGATCTAGCTGCAGTATGTCCATTATGTGCGAAAAGGGCATACACTAAGAGTGAGGGAGAATAAAGAAGAGATAAAAAAGATCAAATAATCCAACAACGCCTGTCAGTACTCCTGAAACTAGGTATCACATAATGCAAGACCACAAGCTGTAGTCACACTGTACGCTGGTAGTATAGGAAAGCACAACCGAATGTCATGGATGAGCAAAAGAATGAGTCTATAGAGACATGAAATATATAGTTAAGTTGAAATTCAAACCATGATCAAACCGAGGGCCTGCCTAGGATCGATCCAGTCAGCCAGACAGCAGCGCAGACCCCCAAGACAGATGCTCCGACTAATCGTTTTTCCCAAGGGGCTTCCTGGGACATTTTGGCAGGCTCAAAGTTCTTCTGCGACGAATGATGTGATGAAGAAACTTGTGGTCCAGAGTTGTCGTTACCTGCGCGAAGCGACAAGTCGTTTTGATTGACCAAGTAGTCTCGGTCGCGTGCGCGCCATTTCTCAACCAGTCGCGCAATCTCAATGAGGTCTTCTTTTAGGGATCCCGGGTCTGTCGCAGTGGTATTCTCAACCTCAATGTTCTGGACGTTTCCGAAGAAGTCCACCACCGTTCGAAGGCGGCCCTCCTGCTCGGCACCAGGGAACAGATCCCATCGTACGCCTGGTTGTGAGTGGATCTTGGTTTCGTCGTACGAATCGAACAAGTCGCCCAATGTCAGTTTAGAGTTCGCACTTGTGACCTGGGTTTCAAGAAACTCGAGGACGTAGTACGTCCAGCGGTCAATCACTGCAACTCCAACATCGTTGTCGGCATGATGAGAGTATGAAGACTGATCAAGCTCGCTGGACCCGGTGGCAATAATATTGGGCGAATAGAAATGCGTATACATCGTGTTGGCCTGACAGGTATCGATCATGAACAGTAGCTCGTGATAACGCTTCTTCTCCCACATCTGACCGAAGGCATCCGCCAAGTCCCAGGCGCCAATCTCCTCGGAGTCCTGAAACTTGAGAAACTGATCTCCTCCATGTCCTGTCATATACACAAGTACATTGCTTCCCGCGTCAGAGCCAAGGCGTTTGCTCCGTGGTACATCTTCGTCTAGCCTATCGGTCAACAGGCGGATGAAATTTTCCACGGTGACCTCGTAGCCCCGGTAATCCACCTCAATATTGTCTCCATAAAGGTCGACTGCGCGATCCGCATTGCTGTAGACTGTTCCCGGGAACACATTGCGAGGGTTGCAGGCCATATCGTCGGGAAGCATCAGGATAATCTGCGAATCGGGGATTCCGAGGCGCTTGACGGTACGATACAGCGAGAGGACATTTGCGAGGTGGCGGTAATTGAACCAAAAGCGCGAAGTCGAAACTAAGACGGCCCAGTTCGATGTATGCTCAGATGAAGCTAAAGACGCAAAGGCTGTGAGGAGGAAGGGAAGGACTCTAAGGAGTCCAAAGTATGGAGACATAATGAGCGCTCGAACGTCAAATCATAATATAATTAGAGAAAGGTTGCGTGATGAACGACAGATAGGGGTGAACACAGCAGTTACAATAAAGGAGTGAGCACGACTAGGTAGGTGGAGATGTTTCTGAAGAAGTAGTAATCAGCCAGAACATCGGGATGATCAATAAGGCATCCATCAAAGCCAGAAGATTCAATGCCTGAGGCATTAAATCCCGCAAACAAAGCTTTGCAGCCTGAGGCAACAAGCATGATAGAAAAGAGGAGTCCCTCCTACGGAGGACTCCGTAACACCAATCACATTGACGTCTGTGGCGGTACTGGAATGAAACAGTCGTAGTAGTACTAGTAGTACATAGGTCACGGTACTTTGAAGCAGAATGTGACAGTGTCCTAATAAGAACGGCATAGGCAGTCGCTTTGATTCCTTGTCTATACTAAGGGACCGAGACGATATCCACCTTGTCAGCTACAACTACTAACAAACTGCAGAAGCATGATTGGAATCATCATTTTTTCTTTATTCATCAGCTATACTGCCTACCTAGGTCTCTGTCTCATTCAACACAGGAACCGTGCGCGGAAGATTGGATTGCCATACGTCTCATTTCCTATCTCGTCGCATAATCTATTCTTCCTATCTCTCTTCGAGACTCGAATCGTTCCATATGTGATCAACACGTGGCTCCCACCCAAGTTGGCCGATTATATCTATGATAGCGGCTTCAAAACCCGCTGGATGACAAAGGACCGCCTCCACAAGAGGCATGGGGGAGTTTATATGCTTATTACACCAGCCGTCTCAACTTGCATGGTGGGCGACGCCTCAGTGGCCTCTCAGATCTGCATGTCTCGTCAGGGTTTCCCAAAACCCCACAAACAATATGGTAAATCATGTTGGCATGGCTCACGTGTTGCTGTAAAACTAATGAATAGCCACATCATAGGGGCTCTGGACATATATGGTCCCAATATTGTCACAGTAAGGTGTCCACTACATTATGTGCATTTACATCGAGTGCTCAAAAGCTCAGCTAATAAATCATAGTCCGAAGGCTCTCAATGGGCACATCTGCGTCGGCATACAGCGGCAGCGTTTAATGAGAGAACTAGCGCCCTGGTTTGGGAGGAAACAATCCGCCAGACGGACGAAATGGTGCAATATTGGAAGGATGAGCACACTCGAAGCTCTTTACAATCCGAGTTTATTCTGACAGACGCTAGAGAGGACATCTTAAAATTCACTCTCAATATTATCTGCAGTGTTGGATACGGAGTGAAGCTTCCGTTCAAACCCATCCTTGAAAATTCGACTGACAGTGCTGAAGGCTTATTCAAAGACGCCATATCACCTTCTCCAGGCTATCACTTCACATTCCGCTCTGCGATGGAGTATTTGAATAAGCACGTGACCTCGATATTTATAGCCAATGGCCTTCCCAAATGTATCCCACGGTCCATACTGCCATTCTTCAAGAAAGACTTTGATGCGTTCGACGATATAGGCAGGTATCTACGGGCTTTAGTATCGATGGCTGAGACAAAGGAAAGCCTAACACAGAATTTGATTGATGGTTTAGTCAGATCTAAACAGCAGAGAAATAAAGGCCAAGGACTCGACCCTGATCTTACGGATGATGAGATACTTGGGAACCTGTTCGTATTCACAATCGCTGGGCATGAAACCACTGCTGTTGCTCTTCGGTTTGCTCTTGTGCTCCTTGCTCTCAATCAAGATGCACAGGAGTATTTGTACGAGGGGATTCGAGAAGCAACATGTGACGAGCCTCATAACCCTGTCGAGTGGGATTACAGACGGGTTTACCCAAAGCTCGTTAGCCCTTTATGTGTAATGGTATGTGACATAGCCCACCTTTGTGATTGTCATTGTTCCGAGAATGATCACTGAGTCCATCAGCTTGAAACACTTCGGATGTATCCTCCAGTGACAACCATTCCCAGATGGACAGGAGACTCCGCAGTCGATATCACGTATCAGAACCAGTCTTATCTCCTTCCGCCGCATGTTTATATCAGCGTCAATGCTAGTGGGCTTCATTACTCCGAAGAGTACTGGGGGCCAGATGCAGCTGTGTACGATCCCAAGAGATGGGATAAGCAGAACACGGAGAGCTTCCTTGCGAAGAACGAGGGAGTGGGTCTGTCTGGACCTGGGTTAGAATATGACACAATCCATAAACCAGTCCGAGGGTCATATATTCCCTTCAGCGACGGCTTCCGGGTGTGTCTTGGCAAGAAATTCGCTCAGGTCGAGTTTGTAGTTGCCGTGGCTATTATCTTCCGTGAGTATCATGTTGTGTTGGCGAAATCCAGTGAGTGTAAGACCGAGGACGATATGCGTCGAAGGGCAGAGAAAGTTTTACAGGAAAGTACTTCGTTTATCACATTGTCAATGCGTGATGAAGTACCGCTGCTGTTCCAGAAACGGTGAGTTAGCAAGGCTTGAGAGTCATATAGCTTAGTCGTAGTTCGAATGGACAGAGGAAGTGCCATGAGTGCTTTAGGTGTCACATTTGGGTCATTTTCATACCGTCAATCACAGCCATCCTTTCTTTGGGTTTTTTTTTTTTTTTTTTTTGTTTTTTTTTTTGTTCTTTTTTTAGCTTCTTCTGGTATGAGATGTTGTTGTTGATGTCTCTGAAGGAAACATTTTGCAACAATAGTACAGCAGAATTAAGCCTCTACTTATTGTCCGCCGTATACCTTGTCGTAATAGCCACCAGTAAATAATCTCTGTGATCAATGGAAGCGACGTAACCGCGACGCTTTCGTATATAATTCGGGAGAAAGGATCGAGTAACTGCACATAGCAAGACATACGAGAGGCATTTGGACGGATAGCAAACGAGGGCGCGAACAGTATGATAGGGCATGCTATGGTCTTCTTGGCCTAACCCATGTTCTACGTCAAGTCCCATGGTTAGTAGTGGGGAGGATTGTGGTTAAGGTGGATTATGATAAATTGAATCCAAAGCCGTGAGTGGTGTTAGCAAACGTCGCCAAGCATCTCCCGCAGCCCTAAATCAGGGGTTGACGAGGCGCAGCAAGGCATCATCTGGCCGATTGCTTCAAATTACCAATTATTGGATAAATGCCAGTTCTAACAGTGGTGCAGCTTTTGGTCAGGACGAACCATGACTCGGAAGATGGCCGATGCCACTAACAGAGCCCCTTCACTGCTCCGGGCCATCGCGGTCAGTTGAGACCAAGCTCTCCAGCCTTGTCACAGATACAACGGTGATGGCACCTCTTCTTAGAGAGTCTACTAGATAAGAAATGGATGTTGTTGATGAACCATAAATTCGGAGCATAATAGAGCATGCTGAGCTCATCTTTTAGAGGATGTATGCATGCACAGGTTACTTATATCTGTCTCATGGTCATTCCATCATAAAAAACGAACAGCTTCAGTAATGTGGACGATTACAGCAAGCTTATCTGCCCTCAACAAGTTGTCATTCTCGGAGTAACTTCGCTCTTCAAATGGATATATACACAGCAGTAGCAACATCGACCTGGTGGAGATCCACCATTTTCCTCCGCTTTCCACACTAGCCAGCGCGGTGTGCTTTCGTACTAGAATATTTTCTCTTCCCAAATGGCCTATCATACTTTGTTCCAACATACTACCATTGATATAAGTGACGTCTGTGGCACTGATTATACCTGATGCCGAACTTTACACAACATAGACGCTGCACTTTCAACCGTTTAGGGCCAAGCATATGAGCAGCTAGATAGTTGGCTAATCTAGTAGAGGATGCGTCTATTATAGTACGGTATTCAATGGACTAGCATCTCAATCCGCCAAGCACTTGAGTTACAGTAGCCTCCCTCGTGTAGCGAGTAGCGTCGGTCATGCAGGGGGACTGAGCCCGTCCATCAAAATTTTCACTCTCAGTTCTACCTTCAGCCCTCTCATTTCGATAACCTGCAGACGCTCTCTTATAGACTATAATGCCACACCACCCATTTAGGAGCTCAGTAAAACATTGAAGTCCGGAATATACATTCCTTCAAGCGACACACTCTGTCCCGAAACAAAGGGTAGAGCCATGTTGACTATGGGTGGCGATGCCTATCGCGTACCGTTTGATGTAATTGACCTGGCATAGCCCCGCCATATGTCTGAGTTTAGTCAATACAGAGAGGTGGAACATTTTTGGTTGGGTATCTTGAAACAACTTAGCATGAACGGGCAAATATCCAAGCCAACACCCGCAGCGGATCTAAGTGGACCAGTCCCTTCAGCCATCTTGCACTTGGCCCACGATAGGAGTAAGCCTAATATATGTAAAGAGGATACTTGATCTTTTCATCGTAGACACGGGGAATAGTCAAGAGGGAAGGCCAAAGAAGATTGACCTTACCATGGAATCGCTGTGGTGGCTTCTACGCAGGGTTTGGAGTTCCCTCATTACCCTTTGGAATGTTCTATGGCTTCACCCTCTCTTTTCATTCTTTACTGTCTCCCTAGTCTTTCTTTTAGTATCTCTTACACAATCGTTCATTGAGTTCTCTGACAGCCTTAGAGCCCATTCACTTTCGCTAAACAATTTTTCTCCTGCCTATGTTACAGCGCTCAATGAGTCTATCCATCTTGGTCAACCGATCCAATTCAATGCTGCAGACAACAAAACTCCTCCTGCCTCCATCCCACGAATCATCCACCGAACATACAAGACAGAAGATATACCCTCTCATTGGAAAGGTACCTACGAGTCATGTCGCACGTTGAATCCCACCTACAAGCAATACTTCTGGACCGACGAGTCCTCTCGTCAGTTCATCGAAACCCATTTTGACTGGTTCCTTCCCACCTACGATGCCTACCCATACAACATTCAACGCGCTGATGCCATCCGTTATTTTCTACTGTGGCATTATGGGGGCGTGTATATCGATATGGACATAGCTTGTCGCCGACCGTTGGACCCGCTGCTGGACTTCTCTGCCTGGATGCCCAAGACCCAACCCTACGGTGTCAGTAACGACCTGATGGCGAGTACCCCAGGACATCCATTCATCACCAAAGTTGCCCTGGCTCTGCATGATCACGACGGCTTCTACCTTTCCAAGTATATCACTGTGTTTTTTACGACGGGGCCGATGTATCTCAGCAGCCTCTTGACAGAGTGGTTTCGAAAAGTGCAAAATGGCCCGGGCGAGGAAATTACCATGCCACATGGCGTTGCTATACTTCCTTCTATGATGTACGACACCACTGCGTACTCATTCTTTGGACACGCCCCAGGATCCACCTGGCATGGAAACGATGTAGCGATAGTTAGTTACATCTACAAACACTGGCGTGAGATTTGTCTTGGAGCAGTTGCAATTGGCGTGCTGGTGTTGACGTTTTATATCCTACGGGTGAGAAGACGGTCGAGATATACCTTGATATTAGATAGGCGGGATGAGGAAGCAGGCCTTTTGTGATGATTCATTTGTTTTCTCACCAGCTCAATGGAATGTGGGTGCTGTGTTCGTTCGTTCGTTCTTTCTGCTGTCTTCCTTGCTTTCCTTCACTCCATACTGCCTTGATTCATACTCTCCTTTGCCGCGCAATATACAGCGAGAAGCTTCTATTATGTTGAATATATATTCTAGAATTAGATACCCGGCGATCTACAATAAATTCTTTACACAATGGAACACTATCTTTAAAGAAGCGAAGATTAGGCCCTACAGCACCAACAAGAAGATAGGGGAGGGAGGATAATGCCTAGGTGCAACGTGTATGAGCAACACCCTAAGACAGTCCAGGCCGTTACAAGCTTCTATTTGGTGGCTTGGTACCTTGAACTTCCGTTTGCCCCATAAAAACCGATGAAACTCTTCCGCTTAGTAATTTTTCGACATCTGAGGTAGAGCTACCAACAAGAGCAAATCCCACTAGAAACAGTGACCCTAAAGCCTTATTGATTGGGACCCTTGTGGGGGTGTTGCGGGTATCGAACCCTAGAACCGTTGGGTTGGGGCCCTAAACCATCAGCCCTTGTAGGTTGACCGAAGCATCCACTCCAGCGAGGCAGTGCCGCGGTGCGGAGGGTAAAACATGCTGCGCCTCTTGGTCTTGGCCACAACTATCGGCTTTTCAGGGGCTGAAACATGGCCAAATCAATGCTTGCTGCGTTGGAGGAGTTCCCAGTGAGGTTCTTACAGAGTATAACGCTGATCTCTGAATCTCAAACTTTATCATACTGGCATTTGTATTGCTGAATGGGGGAACAGTATGTTTCAAGCGAGGTATATGTTGAGTAAGCTATATCTCAAGGTTACCAATAGGTTACTCTGCGTCTAAAGACGTACTCCGTAGTACCAAGCCAAGGGTTCAATAGTTGGATTATCTAGTGCTTGTGCGGGTATCAACTGCCGGTCGACCTGCATTTTGCTTGGGGATATGCTGGTTCTTCCACTCATCACAAGGTATAGAACATGGATATTACGAGTAGTTGAGTCGATCTATTATGGCGTGCTAAGACTCCATATGCTTCTTTCTGGAGCGAGGTACACTGAGGTCCTACCTAACCCAAGGGAAGTCGAACGATAGTTCGGACATGCCACCGACAACAGAGAGAAAGCGACCTCGTTAGGGCAAATCGATAATCCTGCCAAGCTTTCAAAGGGGCCCATCGATTCTGCCTTGACGGACCCTAATCATTAATATCGGAGGTTGCTCGCTCTTACTCTGTCCACGGCTCATGTATCGTGGCGTCCCCGCCTCCTCATTTCTGATGTAACTCTCCAGACTGCCTTGTCCCTGTCTAGGATGCATGTTTCACTTCTCCGGGGCTCTATGTAGTTCAGGTGTCCACCGACTATACTCTCTTACCTCATATGGTATATTCTGGTAGTGGAGCTATGTACTATCTTCCCTTATGGCATAGAACATGAGAGTCCAAGGATTCCCCTGCATAAACATAAAGTCTACAAGGTTAGGAAGTACTAGTAGATTCACTACAAGAATATGACTGAAGACCCATTTTCTTGGACATTATGCGTCTAGGTATAGCCACTCTGCCACCACGACATCGTCGAGATGCCTGGTATATCGCTCCTATAACCAATATCTTTTCCGGGTAAGGTAACCATTGCAAATTGCACCTTATCAAGAGTAATATCCCGCTCAATACGACAATTATCCACTCGTACTCCATCTATCGTACAGAACGACCCACGCCATCATCTGCTCTTTGCAGATCTCCTGGACTTATTGACGGTGGTGTGACCAGAGAAGGAATCGGGTGGATTTTTTTCGGAAGGGCTGTGGTTTGATCCACACAATCAATTCGATGGGGCACCGTGTCCGGAGGCACTCCGTTTTTCTCCCATTCCAAGGTTGGTTATATTTCAAATTACTCTTTGGGTTATGTAAATGCTAGTCACAGTACTCCCTGAGACCGCAATCACACTCTTATCCTGATGTTGAGAGCTCCTTAGGGCACACCATACCTTTATACATCTTTCATGCTCTGTAGTTGTAATCTCAAGTGGCACTCCATTACCTCATGCCATTTGCAAAGCTGTACTACTATTATCCTCAAGATGCATACGCTGTTAAGCAGGGTAAAGTGAGCAGGCACAGTGCGGGGCGAAGAAGACACGGTATGAGCTTGCTTCGGTCAGCTCCTTTCCCCCATGTACTCGAGAGCAGCCATATCACTCTCCAATAGAGGCTCGCCATCTGGCAGCCACTACGGAGAACATATGCAACCCTGGATTTAGCTCCCCCATGGACACCCTTGGCAATACACTGACAGAGTTTGTTGTTTAGGAAGCAGCAGAAATTTCTGACTTGCCGCGAATGTGGGAGACTAGAGCTGGATGGCTCATTGGTTTCAGAGATCTTCTGTTCTGTGCCCTCTGGGCTGATGTCCCTGCTATTAGCATGTGGGAAAAAAATTTCTGTCTTTTTCGCCTCGTTCATACGTCTCCCTTGGAGTTCCTTGAAGACTCAGCCTCATGCTTATGGAAACCTGCGATTCCTCGCCCTCTTGTGTCTTGACGGCCTACCTTACACATCTTGTAATCTATTTTACGATTGCTCTAATCCTCATAATAGTGGTTGGGTTTTCGGGGAATACCAGAGAATTTTGAATATGGAAGCAATGCCTAACTAGGTATGACAGAGCACAACTTCATACTACCACATCTGTATCTAACTCTATACGGTGTATATTAATGAGAATCATTCGCATCTACATACATACCTCGCTCCTTTCCCCAGTCATTGAGATAGTAGTCCTATCGCCACCCTTCTGTCCTCCATCTACTCCCTTCGACGCAAACCTACCACCCACCTTCGGCACCAACTCACAGCGACACGAAACCCCAAACGGTCAGCATTAAGCATATCGATACTTCGGGATATCCTCGATGAGCAGATTGTTCGATATCGAGCCGGTGAATCCCACGCCATGACGGCTGATATGAACCGAAAAACTATAGAAAAAGCCTCTTGACTTGGCCTCTATGCTGGTTTTATCTGAGCATCACGTACATAGAACGGTGGCCATAGCTACTGGCTAGTCTTCAGTCCATCGTACGTCGCCGGAGACGATGATGGGAATCTGGACTGACATTCCTGCCCACGAATATAAGGGTGTTCTGCTAGGCCATTACATGACTTGGCCGCAACCTCCGCCAGCAATGGAAATGGCAGAGAACTATTATGCTAATGGCCAATCCTTTCGAGTTATGAAGCTGCAGTACCCTCCTATCCGTTTCATTCAACACTATAGGGCCTCGGCTGCAGCACAAAACACATTGAGGATTAGATTAGACCCAGAGAGCTATCTCAGATTAAGCGCTGTATGGAGAATGAGTGCCGTCACCATTGACAGGCAGGTGGTTGAGCGTGCACATATGAGGCCATCGGGAAATGTGTCCTTCGGTTATCTTCCGTGCGCCATTCCTCTCATACGCATCGCAATCCTCCCTGACCATTTTTATAACAGTCTATAGACACTTGGTACACGCTATTTGGACAGAGAGCCGACAAAGTCTTATCTGTAGGCGTGTCGCAGAAGAAAATTTTCTGGGGGAAGGCTCAACACTACTTTGTTATCTACTGGGTGGCCACAAAGCCCAAAGGGTGTACCTAACATATCTTTTATGTAATGTTGTGTTATCTGAAGCCAATTTGTATCTATCTGTTGTATACCTTGCAGCCTGAACCAAATCATGAGTGGTTGTTCCTTGTTTAGATATCGTACTCTATTAATCTATCAGGGTATATACGTTTTTTCCTGGCTGGGTCTCTCTTGACTAAACAATCATACATGTCGAATATTCCCTTCGGTAGGCCGCGTGGGAGAGAAGAGAGTGCCCATATATATTCGAGATGCTTTCTGTCGCTTGAAATTGCAAGGGCTTTTAGTCACCTCAACAGAAACCTCGTTCAAATGAGGTTCCTTCTCCATCCTGAAATTACCCTACTAATAATACTATTACACTAACCGAACGTTCATGAACGGAAAATAAAGCATTACAGCATGCCCATAGCATGTTTAGCCAGTACCGGTTTGTTGTGGATATCGTTGCAATTGCAATCACAGAGAAAGAAATCGCGAAGGGAAATCTATTGCGGACAAATATTTTAACGCAAATCTAGTAGCATATAGTACACCAAACTAGTCATGTGGTAATAATCTATTTGCCGATCTCAACACCACCAGTGGCACCCAAGAGACGCTTGATGTCACCGTAGATGGCGAACTGACCAGCAGTCAAGGTACCAACCATGAACAGACGGGCACCAATACCGGCGTAGGAGCCACGGAAACCAAGCTCCTTACCGATCTTGATGAGACGAGAGACGGTACCCTCACCAGGCTCGCCGGGGGTCTTGTTGATCTTGCTCAGCATAGTATCGGCGGGCTGGGAGACGAGAGCGGCAGCGAAACCAGCAATGAGACCAGAGCCAAGGTTGATAGCAGTCTTAGCACCATCGGTGAGGGTCTCCTTGTCAAAGTTGCGGTAGATAGCCTCAGAAGCCTTCTCGAAAACGACGAACTTGGCCATGGTGTAGGGAACCCTGGAATTTCGATTAGACTTGGTTGCCCAAATTTGACTAGACTAGTGCAAACTTACTGCTTGAAGAGAATAGGTCCGAATCCAGAGTAGAAAGCGCCGACACCCTCGTTCTTGAGGATCTTACCGAAACCGCTCAGGAGACCGGTAGCGAAAGTAGGCTGGGAGACGAGACGGATACGGGTGGCTTCAAGAGGGCAAAGAGCGATATCGGCAAAGAACTCGGCGGTGGCGGAAGAGGCAAGGTAGACAGCGGTACGGTTGTTGGAGGCAGTCTCGTAACCGAGCTGGTTGATCCACTGCTGCTTGAAGAACTCATAACCACCGAACTTGAAAGCACCCTGAAGGAAGTAACCGGCGGCGGTAGGACCGAAACCAGTGAGGAGAGCGCCAGCACCCTCGTT